GGTCAACCGGAAGTACCCTATAGGTTTTGGGTCGAAAACCTATATGGTAGTTCCCGCTGACCTAGAATCACGAAATTACGAAAAAAGAAACGTCTTACAGCACAAATTAAGGAATAATTCCAAAAAATAAAAAAAAGTTGAAAATTAAATAAAAAAAAGTTGAATTTTTTTATTTGCAAGTACCAAATACTTACAAATTTTCGCGAAAATCTACGTTAAAACTGGGTAGGTACGGAACCCTTTTGCACTTCTGTAACTGGTAACAACGGTCCGCCACTAATATATTCGTTTTCAAAATACTCGTGCAGCTTACAAATCATTTCCCGTGCCTGGGAATTCAACATACGTCCCCTTTTCGACATGCTAAAATAAATCATACGTGCAATCAACGTCCAAAATAACAAGCCAAGGTTAAAAGCAGTAACAGTCAAGAAATAAAGCCGGGTCACAAAACAAAAGAGAATACGAGAGGAGTAGGCATGGGTTAAAATTATTTCATCACACCTGTGACTCATCTAAAACATCACTGCGACTAATTAATATTATTACGCTATACGCGAATGGACTAAATCCAAAAAGAAAAGGTCAGTTTTATGGCGTTAATCTTTGTCTATGACCAAATCTAAGTTGTGATTTATCACTTGTGAAATCACAGCGACCACAGTCAATCATTTCATCAAATGGATATGATTTACAAGTAGCAATAATTTCTATGTCTAGAGAGAGGAGTGCACAGTTGGTCGGACGGATCGCGAGGAACTGCAGTGAAGTAAGCCACGAACTGCCATGCGTACCACAAAGGCTTTCTTTTTCTTCATGTGTAAGGGCAAATAAAAACTAAATTTTGAAATAAAAAGATCCGATTTATTTTATTTGCTGGACACACTCATCGATGTTTTAGTTTAAAATTATAAACTTTAATTCTTCAGTTAAATAGTTCTTAAAAATAAATATTAATTTATTTGTTCACTTCTGTTTAATTGTACGAAAATAATAAATTTAAAGCGAAAAAAACGAATTTATAATCATACATAACTATTTAACTACAATAAAGACGAACTCTGTTTAGCAAGTACTTTGATAAAATACTATTTGTAAAATAAATCAATTAATCATAAAATGTAACTGTTTTAGGACATCTGACAGAAATAAAGAATCACGCGATTGTTAAAATTATTTGTAGACATTTAAACTGAAATATGTCCCATTACATTCATTCAACTGAGTAGTATAAATTTTTCATCATCATCATCATCAGCCTATCGCAGTCCACTGCTGGACTGCTGCTCCCGCAGGCCAGGTGGAGTGACGATTTGCGCAAGATGGTTGGCAGGAGCTGAATGAGAGAAGCCCAAAATCGATCTAAGTGGCGTGCAGTGGAAGAGACCTATGTCCTTAATAAATTTTTACCAATATAATTTTTTTTAATATCAAAATCGAATTCTGTTGTTATGTTTCGTTAAAGTCGTACGTATTTGCGTTCTCTAATTACAGAACGTCAGTTTTATCTGTCAAAATGCACTTCTTAGATTGTTTAGACTATTTGATTGTTACCATTTTTTTTATGTGTGGGAAAACCTTGGGCCGTCATCGGGGATGTGTGGCGGGACGGTGTGTTGGCATCGAAGCGACTAAAACCACTCGGTGTGCCACTCTACACCTGGAATAGCAGGGATCCGGGAACAGCTATTATTAAAACATCTGGATTTCGGGTTCTGATTGATTTGAGATTTTCATTAATCAGTATAACTTGAACTGTCATTGTATAGAATTTTGTACCACGGCAGGTCAAAACATATACTGGACACAGTTTTATATAGCTGTTTTTACATAGCTTTTAACTTTTTAGCACATAATATTGTTTAAGAACTTTAAGTTTCTGTATTTCTTCCACATATAATCATTAAGTATTCCGAATACGATACGCTTCCGTGCGCCGCCATATTTGTTTAATAATAGCATCTTTAAAAAACCCTCGAAACAAAAAAAAAACTTAAAAAAACAACAACTGCTCATTGAGACTGTTCTAATAAGCCCAAACATGGTATATATGCTGTAGTTTTCTGAGGAGTTGGCTAGTCGGCAGACTACTTTATGCAGCAGCAAGTGCCAGGTTACAATGTCGTGAAAATACTATCAAAGTAATAGTCTACCAAATTTCAGATCAAATGGTCCTGTGGATTTAGTGAGATCCCTTCATCACCTAGGAAGTGAGCTGATGATCTTCAAAATTTATAGCTAGAAACCATCTCGATCACATAGGCTTTCGAATAAAAAAAACCGCATCGAAATTGGTTCATCGGTTCGGGAGTTGTGATGAGACACAGACAGATACGCAGATACACAGGTTAAACTTATTCACACCCCTCGTTTTCCGTCGGGGGTTAAAAAGGAGTACAAAGAATTTTCTTCACGTTTAATATTATTTTAATTAATAGCGTTTTATTTGTGACACAAATATCTCAAATAGCAATTAAAACTCGAATACCATGCTTCCAAGTAATATTTCAAAAGTTTTTAGTACTAGAAATAGAACAATTTAATCTGGGCTAGATCTAAAGTGACGTCACCGTGTGATTGTGTCGGGCTTACGTCACCGATTGCCCTTTTGACACTTGAGAAACATTAGACTTATTTCGAATGGATCTTGAACATTGAAGAGACATCCGCGTGGTGACGGATTAAGAATACGGAGTGTCACCACCCCTATTTATCCCGTGGGTGTCGTAAGAGCTGATTAAAGGAGAAAACTAGGCAGGACTAGCAACAACACTGCAAACAGAAGGAAACCTTGACACAAACCCTATGCTAACCAGTCTAGTATAGTAGACCAAAACCTCCTTTCTAAGGAGAGGCTTATGTCCAGCAGTGGACTATAAAAATAATAATATAGGCTGTTGATGTGTGATGTGATGTGAACGGTAAAGAGTTATCTTCTGCGAATACAGGAGCCGATTCGAACTATATATACACGAGTATTAATACGTTAAGAAAATTCTTTGTTAACAAATATGGCGCACGAAGACATCGTATTTAGAATACGGGGCCATCCATAACTTACGTCATAGGAATTTCAAGGTTTTTTGACCCCCACTCGTCCTCGAGTTGCGTCTCTAGAGCTGCAGATATAAATCTCATCGTTGCCATCCTTAGCACGCTGCAGGCACCCCCCCTCCCAAATAACCTGTCTGGGGTAACCACTTACTCTGAGCTAAAAAGTCAACGATAACACCGGTTTTCTGTCTGGCCTAGCATCATGTACCAGCATGGTTCTTGCAAGGCATACGTAGATAAGTCTATGCGCCACTTCTGCCGATCCAAAAAACAGTTCTGAATCCTGCCTTAGTGACGAAGTTCTTCGATCAGAAATAAACAGTTTGAATATAGGACTTCACTTAGGAAAAGGTGCGTGGCCATTTGCATAATATAATTATACGATATGTAGGTCAGTTGTGCAACGGTCACATGTATACAAAGAAATTTCAGCTTAATGTGCAGAATATACATAAAATAAAGTTTATGGTGCGTCAACTGAAACCAGTTATTCTCAAATTTGGTGTCATGATGTGACACCAAATTTGAGAATAACTCAGGATTACAATCGGAGACTGGGAACAAACCATTCACGGAAAAAACTTATGAACGAGGATAGCACTGACAATACCTAAGTATAGGTAGGTAATGATAATTTTTTAAATACTGACATATTCGCTTAATCATATTTATAATTTCAGAAATGTGTTAAGATAAATTAGCTAGTATTTGATCTTTATAACTTTAGTTTTGTTTGTATGACAACATGCATTAATTTTCCGAGTCTGGGTGTTCTTTGTGTCTATGACACATAGATTCAGACTCAGATCAACAATTTGTGGATCATACAAAGTGTTATCTTATGTGGTGATTTAACCAACAACACTCAGCGCAGTAAGAAGCGCCGAGGTGACCACTTAAACCACTACGCGATCCGTGCAGTCAAGAATTAAGTACGTAATTGTTTATCATCCCAAATATATAAAGTTATCATTAGTATAATCACCTCCGATAAAAGTTTACGTCTCATCTCTATATCCCTAAAAGTTTGAGAAACGCATGCGAAACTGTAATAAATGCATTTGGTGACGTCATCCTTTTGTTGCGCGTATAACGATGACGTCACCAACATGTACTCTTGCACTAGTTTATAGCGCATAAATTGTCTTTATGGAGTACTATGGTAAAATCATAATATGGATTTACAACTTTTGGGGCTTTTAAATCGCAGAATAGAGACTCTTTGGAAAATAGAAGATGGCGTCATGCGATCAGCTTGAAATTGTTCTGAAAATTATAACAAAATTTAATTTTGATGGCAGAGAATTAGAACTTTCCGGCTATAACTAATTCAAGTTACCAGTATGCCAGCCTGACCTGCAGCATGTATTTAGAAATATGTAAGTATGTTTATCAGCAGTCCATAGCACAGGATCTGCCTAGTTTGGTATCAGACGGCCCTGTGTGAGATGTGTGAGGTTATTCCTGAATAATTTACCCATCTAAGCACAATCAAATTCCCAAGGAAGTTTTGGCGTTAGGCAAACGGGTAGTTGTAAAAGAGACCAAAACCTAGGCTATCCACTAAACAAAATTACATAAGCAACTCAACTATACCTACGCGAGTGGATTTATTATATTTCCTACTCCTCTGATTTCATCATCATCATCAACAGCCTTTACCAGGTCACTGCTGGCCATAAGCCCTCTCCTTGGAAAATAGGTTTTGGCTTACTATACCACGCGGGCCAGACGGGTTGGTATACGGTGTGTTTCATGTCTTCCTCCAATTTACTTCGAATTATTTTTGTTGCGGCATCTTAGATAGTTTAACTTATCCTGGAACTTTTCTGCTGCACTGCTGTTAATCCTGATGTAAAGTAGTTACAGAAGTGGACGTGTATGAGGAATTAGTCTCTTTATAACTACGCAAGTAAGTTAAAACGATGTTCTGTTTATTGTTGCAGTGCCGTCGACGACGCGTTCGCAACTCGCGGCGGAGTACCTGGAGTCGTGTAGAAGACACAACACATTATGTATCGACAGTGTTCTGGAGCAGATACGGGTAATATTATAACAAGTTTTTATCAGCTTCACTTCTTATGGTGTAGCAAGGCGCCTGATGGTAAGTGACTAACGCAGCCCATGGAAATCTGCAACTCACGAGTCTCAAAAGCGTTGCCCCCTCCCTCCCCTGATTTTGGGCTCTGACAGCCTCACGCAACGCATAGCCTTAAGCAACGAAAGAACTGCTTAACACCGGTTTTCTGAGACCGCAATATCACTCCGGTCTTGCCTGGTCTACATGTACTGAAGCATGACTCTCCCGCCATCAGCCAACAGTTGTTACTAATTAACAAAGTAAAGTTTCACATCCAATAATGACGGCGAAATCGCGTAACAAACATACAAATTAACATTCGAAAAGAAAATCTCCTCTTTTTTCGAATCAGTTTAAATTAAAGTTTATGGAATAACTAATAAAGTGACGTCCTCACTTTACAGCTATACGCTGCAGTTCTGATTTCTTTTTCGACACGTAATTATTATAATAATATATAATATAATAATATATTTTACAACATTCACACAATGCCATCTAGTCCCAAACTAAGCAGAGCTTGTACTATGGGTACTAGACAACTGATATAAATACAAATATACTTTTTTTTTGTAAATACATGAATATTATACATAGAAACACCCAGACCAAATCAAACATTAAATGTTCATGCACACAAATGTTTGACTTCGCGTGAATCGAACCCGCGACCTTTGGAATAGCAGTCCGTTACACAAACCACTACGCCATCCGGTCGTCATAATCGCACATATCGTTATAATTATTGCTGGCATTGTTTCTATTTGTTTAGGAGGAATTGCTCGTGGCTGGCGTGACCGAGTAGGGTAACACCACGTCAAAGCAATCCTAGCCAGGCCAACATCTGTGGCAATCATTATCGGTAGTTGGAACCCTAAAAAGTCCGACATCAGTATTTCTACAGAATTTCTTTCGAACGTCTGAGGTCTGATGGCGGTCGCTCCGCGTAAAAAAATCGAAGTTCTGCCGTATCGTAGTAGAATTAAGGCCGCCCCCAAGCTGGGTTGGGAAAAAGGCTCGGAGGATGTTTCTATTTATTAAGCGCGTATGCTCATAACTTCGTCGCACCCCTTAGATAACACTTTTTACCTACTCCAATTACATGGTATGAATTTCGTAATGATCTAATAACTATCCTTATCTCATTCCAGGAGTTACCAGAATCTTCCATTGGCGGTGTCATGCGGGCACCACGGCTCACACTCTCAGAGTGTGCGTTACTCGGCCCAGCGCCCGCTGACGCGCTGGAAGCAGTGCTCAGAAAGGTCCAGTTCAAAAGGATCGAAATAGACCATGCTGTTATTGATGATGAGGGGGCGGTGAGTACTTATTTTTTTTTTTTTAATTGAGGGTAGACAAAAAACAAACATTAAAATTGTTTGACTGGCCATACCATTTTCGTAAATTTATTTAGGGTCGGCTTAATAAGATTAATTTTTCCATTTTCTTTTATCACTCGTCTGTTCACTCTTTACTCCCTTTCTAGCCATATCTTCTTTGACGCAGTCCATCTATCTTTTCTTTAGTCGTCCTCTATTCTCATATCCGTAACTTTCAAACATAGGACTTTCTTCACTACTTTTTGCTTGTATCTACGCATTACACAACATACCTCTAATACGAGTTTGTGAGGACTTCCATATACGATGAAAACGAAGAAACATGCTACAGCGCCATCTAACGAAGACAACGAACTACGGAGTAACTGCTAATCTTGTATCGCGATATTAATAGTTCTCTCACCGATTAGCATTTGTACAACTTCCCAACATCATTCTTTGGGCCGCGGCCCGCCCGGCATGATAACCTCGCCTGGTCGGAAGATCCTCCCTTTATGTTGGAGGGACATGACGCCCAATTCTCCAGCTTACTGGTTACCATAGTATAGGCTCAAGTTTTTATTATTATATTTTAATTTTTATTGTACTTTGTTCTCAGGAAGCATTGTTCGACATGATAGAATACTATGAGAGTGCCACTATCGTCTGTATAAGTGGACCGAGGCAGTTCGGCATCAGGGGATGGCAGGCAGCTTCTAGAATGATCAAGAAGGTATGTTAATATATGATAATACTATCTTTCCCGCTGCTCCACCCGCGTATATGTCGATTATCGCGTTAAAAAGTAGCCTATATCTTTCCTCAAGAATCAAAGTATGTCCATACCAAATTTCATCATAATCGGTTAAGCGCTTTAAGCGTGAAGAGGTAACTCGGTGGATTCACTTATTTAATTTGACTGATATATCAACTGACCATAGAATTGACGAGTAGAGTTACCATGAGAAAGTCATCCTTCGTCACACATGATACCATGAACCCACAGGAAACCCGTGTTAAGCAATTATTTCGCCCAATAAGGGTACCCAAGCTTCACTCCCCATTCCACCCCTTTAAAAAAATAGTACAAGCTCTGCCTAGTTTGAAACTAGGTTTTTTTTTATGTTAGAGGGGGCAGACGAGCAGACGGGTCACCTGATGGAGAGTGACCATCGCCGCCCATTAATGTCTGCAACTCAGGAGTCACAAAAGCGTTGCCGGCATTTTAGGAAGGAGTACGCTCTTTTCATGAAGGTTTGAAGGTCGTATCGATCCGGAAATACCGCAGATGATAACCCGTTCCTCAGGTGGCGTTGTGTGTCAGATGTCCGAAATATTATATTATCTCCTCGTTCGCTTCCTATACCATGAAATAAAATATCTTAAAACAGCTGTTTTCAAAGGAAAAGTTATTTAAGTATCATAATTAATCATTTCATACAAACATGACAGCCGGCACCAATTCAACTTTGGACTCATTAATTACACATACACAATAAAAGAGCCACTATTAAAGGCAAGGTCATGGCTATGTCCCAGCTGCCATAAACAGTCACATCTTTAAGGAAAATGTTTCAATAATTCTTCAAATATAAACTCTTGCTTTATAATACGAGGGTGAATCAAAAGTTCTTGGAATAACTATATAAAATTCATCATCAGCGTCATCGTCTCAGCCGAAAGACGTCCACTGTGGGACATAGGCCTCCCCCAAGGTTCGCCGCAACAACATGTCCTTTGTTGCCCACATCCAAAGGGAACCGTGAACTTCTCTAGGTCGTCGGTCCCTCTCGTGAGGGCCTATCCACGCTGCGTTTTCAGTAAAAATTCTAAAAGAAATTTTTTTTCTCCTCCTCAGTGCATTTAAAATACCGCTTCTCTAACTTTCTTATTCCTTGAGCCAAAAAAAATATTTTCTTAACATTAGAAAAACTCATCTACGACAGCCTTAACTGCGTCATTATCTTAAAATTTGTTTCTACGGATATGCTCCCTTAATTTTGGGAATAAGTGAAAATGACTAAGGGCTAAGACCGACGAATCTTCATCAACAGCCTTTAATAGTCCACTGCTGGACATAAGCCTCTCCTTAACGACGAATCTTATCGGAGCATAAATTTTGGCCGCCGAAACTTGCACACGCGATTTCATAAATTTCTGGCTATCAATTAAAAACAAATCATCCTCTGATTTTTTCCTAAAATAGGTTTGAGTAGGCTTTCAGTCTACTAAGACACGACTGAACTTCGATTTTTTACGTGGAGCAACTGCCATCAGACCCAACCCCAAGTTCTAGGCGACATCGACGTTGTCGGAATTTTTAGGACCCCTACCCGTAACGATTGCCACAGATGATCATAGAGCAACCAGGACCGACGACTTAACGTGCTCTCCGAGGCACTTAGGAGTCTCAATGTGTTAAGAATGGTCACCCATCCATGGACTGTAAAAAAGTAAATTTGATTTGATAAACTTTTACAAAAAAAAACTTTTTATCATGTTTAATGCTATAAGAGTAATTCCGAAAGTAAGTACTATGGCAGCTATTAACCCACATCATTTAGGGGCTCGAGCTGCTCATATCGATGGTAGATTAAAAGGAAAAGTCGCTGTAATCACTGCCTCCACTGATGGTATCGGTTATGCTATCGCTCAGAGATTGGGAAAAGAAGGAGCTTCAGTAGTAGTAAGTAGCAGAAAAGAAAAGAATGTTCAAAAAGCTGTAGAAAGTTTGCGCAATGATGGAATCACTGTTGAAGGTGTCATATGCCATGTGTGTAATGCAGAACAAAGAAAAAAATTGTTTGAAGTGGCTTATAATAAATTCGGAGGATTAGATATACTTGTATCAAATGCAGCAGTAAATCCGGGTGTGTCTCCTGTTCTCGAGACAGAAGAATCCGTCTGGGATAAAATTTTCGAAGTCAATTTAAAGTGTTCGTGGCTTATAGCTAAAGAAGCTTATCCTCTTTTCATTAAAAGAGGAGGAGGAAATATTGTATTTGTCTCGTCAATTGCCGGCTATCAACCAATGGAGCCTTTAGGCCCCTACAGTGTTAGTAAGACGGCTCTTTTGGGATTAACTAAAGCAATAGCAAATGAGGTTATTCATAATAATATTAGAGTAAATGGTGTTGCTCCAGGAATAGTTGCTACCAAGTTTGCTTCAGCGATTACAACTTCAGAAGTAATCAAAGAAAAAACCTTATCCATAGTGCCAATGAAAAGATTTGGTAAACCCTCAGAGATCGCAAGTACTGTGGCATTTTTAGTATCTGATGATGCCAGTTACATTACAGGAGAAACCATAGTGGCAGCAGGAGGAACATATGCGCATTTATAATAAATAGTTGTAAAATAAAATTGTTAATTCAAAATAAAAGAAACGCAATATACCACTCCTTCAATACGCGGCGAAATTTACTTGCCAGTTCAATTCAGTGGGTTGCAGCCAGATCGTGACTATTCAATTATTTATTTATTACTTAACTAAAATTGATACTCCATCTTTCTTAGTTGCTTAAAAAAATAACATTTAAAAGGACATAGATAGGTAAAAAAATGAAAATGTGGTATAATTGCATTTGGTGTCGGTGTGAGCTTTCAGAATCTGTGTGAATTGTGTATTCTGAAGAATTGGTGAAGGTTTTACATATAATTACAGTTGTAAAAAGTTGTTACTAAAAATAAATCGAAAGTTTTTTCATAAAAAAAAAAAAAAAAAAAAAAAAAAAAAAAAAAAAAAAGAAGAGAGGGCGGTAGTGTCCCGCTGTATACATCGGGCCATACTTTAAAGTGAAATAAAAAATATAAATACCTGAATAACGTAGTGTGATATGTGTTTAAAATGTTATTTGGAAACTGAGTTACGAGGATATTATAAAGGTTTTAGTAAAAATACAGTGATATGAAAACATTTCAAATATAAAAATATAACGAACATTTCGAAGTGAATGAAGGTAACTGCAACTTGTGAATACAATCAGCTCAATTTTGTGCAATAGAACCCTATATTACGAGGATATTATAAAGGTTTTAGTAAAAATACAGTGATATGAAAACATTTCAAATATAAAAATATAACGAACATTTCGAAGTGAATGAAGGTAACTGCAACTTGTGAATACAATCAGCTCAATTTTGTGCAATAGAACCCTATAAAACAATAATATCTGACAAAAAATAGTGAGAAAAAGTGCAAAAAAATGAAAAAAGAAAAACAATAACAAAATAAAACTACTAACTATTAAAAAGTCAAATAATTCCACAGTTTACTGTGAAAAGAAAACAAAACTGACGCCATCTTACGTTAATATTATAAACTACTTCCCGAGACCCTAGCATTGATTGAAAGATCCTAAACTAACTGAACTGATTATATGTGATACTGATAGAGGGCGCTGTACATACGAAATATAATAAATGTATAATTGTGCGATTTAGATCATAACAAATTATTCAAGATGGTGTATGTTTGCGAAGGATGTCAACAAAAAATACTTAATAAGGAATACCTGACCTGTGCTCTTTGCGCGAATGTATATGACCTAGAATGCGCAAACATTGTCAAACAATTTTTTATTAATAAAATGACGCCAGAACGTAAACAAAAATGGACATGCCAAGCCTGTCGTTGCAGAATGCCCAAATCGGATAATTCAGATACTCCCGTACGGTCACAGTACCCCGAGGCTGCCCGAAAAATGTATACTTCTTCAGAAAGAAACAACATTACATCTAGAAAGAAAACCACTAAAAACGACAGCTCATATTCTGAACCTAACCTCCTTACTAAGGAGAGGCTTATGTCCGGTGGTGGACTATTAAAGGCTGTTGACGACGATGAATCTGAAGCTATTAACTTACTGGGTGACACGATATGTACAGAAGACCAAGAATCGACCATGCATACTGATATACAAGCTGAATTAACTTTGAAAAATTTAAATGAAACAATAACACAAAGTCTTAAAGAAAATAACAAATTAATTATAACAGAGCTACGCAACACCATTCAGATAGAGATAAATAAAACTATTACCCAGCTAAGAGCAGAAATGGAACTAAGACGAATGCCTTGTCAAAACAAAATGATCAAAGAAAAGAAGACATAAAAGAATTAAACGAAGAAATAAAAAAATTAAAAATAGAAAATAAAAAATTAAAACGAGATATAGAAGATCTTTCAGCGAAAATACAACCCTCTGAAACAAATACCCCAGAACTAAACACCAAGAAAATAGTTATCTACGGCCTCGCTGAAATCTACAAAGAGCCCGAATATGACCTACACACCAGACTTATAGAATTATTCTACGAAACTATGAATGTAGACCTTACGGGTTACATAGAAGAAGTATATAGAATAGGAAGAAAATCAAGCAACAATCGTCCTCTGGTGATTGAATTGCTTAGCAAGCGTATGGTTAAATACATCTTAAGTAACGGCCGCTATCTTCAAGGAACAAGAGTTGCTGTATCAGATTTTTTAGATGAAAATGCGCGGAAAAAAAGGCAAATATTGCGGGAAGAAATAATAAAAGCCCGAAGAAAGGGCTTACATGCAGTAATACGAAATAATCAACTTTTTATAGAGGGTAAACTAATTAATTTAAAGGAAGAAATAGACAAAAAGCAATACGACATCGAAACTGAGAATGAGAGAATTAAGAGTAAGCCCTACAACCCTAACCAGACCTACCACCAACCAGAAACAACTGAAAATAACTTAAATTATCCCTTTCGAAAATACAGATCAACAGTTTAAAATCTTATTCCAAAATATACAAAGTCTATACAATAAACAATGTATTCTAGAAGAGTTCGTAACACAAGATATAACATATGGCGCGATATGTATATCGGAGTCTTGGCTGTCATTAGAAAAATTACATGCTTTACAAATCTCCGGGTATAAAATAGCTTCTTCATACTGCCGGGTCAACCGAACGGGAGGCGGCGTGTGCATCCTGCTGCGGGAAGACATCGAACACAATGAAGTACGTGAAATTAGCTGTATGTCAATTGAATATGTAATAGAAATGTGTGCATGTGAACTACCTAAAGAGAATATATTATTAGTAACTGCATACTGGAACAGAAGAGAGGAAGAGGTATTTAAAACTCAAGTAAGACAAATTTTAAGTTTCATTATCAATAAGTATTCGAAAACTAAAGTAATTCTGGGAGGGGATTTCAATATTGATGTTTTGAAAAATGATATAAAAACTAACCATTTTCTGGATCTAATGTTAGAATATAGATTTACACAACACGTAAAAGATCCTACACGTATCTCACCGACTACTTCAACGTGCTTGGACTTGATTTTCACAAATTTCAATGACAATTACTTGCATACAACCGTCGAGGAATTAGGATTCTCAGATCATTGCGGGGTTACTATCCACCTAGAACTACCACAACAAACTAAACAGATAACATGGTATATAAAGAAACGAATTTTCAGTCAAAGTAATATGAACAAATTTAAGTCTGAACTAGTCGGACTAAAATGGAACGACATTCTTTCACAAGACAATAATATAAACATAAACTATGACACATTTATCAACATGTTGAGGTCCACCCTAAATCGATATATGCCAATACGAAAAATAAATTTAAAACCACAATACAAAAATCGTTGGCTAACGGTGGGTATAAAGCAGTCCTGTAGAAATAAAAGGTTACTAAAGATCCTTGCTTCAAAATCAAACAACCAGGTTATAACTAATTACTATAAAAAATACGAAAAAATATTAAAAAGAACTGTAACAACAGCAAAAAAATTATACTACAAAAATAGAATATCGAAAGCCGACAATAAAGTGAAAACCATGTGGGGTATAATTAACGAGCGAACGAACAAAAAGCCTAAAAAAGTCATACAAAACATAAATTTACACATAAATAATATCTTAACAACTGAGCCTAGCGAAATTGCCAACTATTTTAATAACTTCTTTGCATCAATTGGAGAGACTTTACACCAGCCTTCCGGTAGCAATACAAATAGTGTACAAGCCCACAACACAATAGAAAATACAATATATCTCAACCCAGTGGATCCTCATGAAGTTAACACAATTCTGAAAACACTTAAAAATAAAAAAAGCTGTGGTATAGACGAGCTTCCACCTACCGTACTGAGACACTGTGCAGATGAACTAACTTTGCCGTTTTATTTATTGGTTAATCAGTCATTTAAAGAAGGCGTCGTGCCTGACCAATTAAAACATAGCTTGGTAAAACCAATACACAAGAAAAACTCAAAAACCGACCCAGACAATTATCGACCTATCGCCCTGTTACCGACTGCATCCAAGATTTTTGAAAAAGCGATGACAGATAGAATATATAACTTCTGTGAAAAATATAAAATATTAGATGAGTGCCAGAATGGATTTCGCAAAAATAAATCCACGATCTTAGCAGTATATAAATACGTCCAAGAAGCCTTAAACATTTTGAATAATAAGCAATACGCAGTAGGTCTTCTATTAGACATGAGCAAAGCATACGACAAAGTTCAATTTAATATTCTATTAAATAGGCTGTATGCTATTGGAATCCGGGGTAAAGCTTACGAATGGCTAGAGTCATATCTAACAGGTAGGAAACAAACTGTAGAACTAGAATTCTTCAACAAAAACACACACGAGATACAAAAAATCCGTTCAAACAGGAAAGATATAAAAGCCTCTATTCCTCAAGGTAGCGTAATTGGGTGCCTATTATTTATAATTTATGTAAACGAGCTACCCAAAACAATAAACGGACCATGTGTCTTATTTGCGGACGACATCTCTTTGCTCACTTCGTGTACAACTAATGTGGATGTTTGTGAAAATCTTCACCAAACACTCACAAAAACAGTGGACTGGATGAACAAACACAATCTGGAAATAAATTTCTCAAAAACTAAATTGATAACTTTCCATCCACACCAAAAATCACCAATAGACATCAATTTTACATTTAATGGATCAAAGATAGAAGTTGTTAATGAGTTTAACTTACTCGGGGTAACCATAGACACGCATATCAACTGGAGGGCGCACGTAAAAAAGGTGAGCGCAAAAATATCAAGTTTTACATACGCCCTACGCGAAGTCAAAAAAGTCACAGATCTACCTACTGCACTTGTCACTTATTACGCCTACGCACATTCTTGGCTCAACTATGGCGTAATTTTGTGGGGCAATAGTACGGACGTCCCCGCTGTTTTTACTAAGCAAAAGGCATTGATTAGAGTCTTGGTCAATATAAAAAATACTGACACATGTAAACCACACTTTCAAGAACTCAAAATCCTAACATTACCATGCATCTACATCTTGGAATTATGTAAACTTGTTCGTAAATATCCGGAACACTACACCAAGCGCGAAGATATCCAATCCAAAATGACCCTAAGACACAAAAGTAGATTAAATCTTCCTACTTCAAGATTAGCAATTCACTCCTCTGGACCATTGGTCATGTCAGTAAAAGTATATAATAGGCTACCAAACGAAATCAAAAACGAAAATAAATACAATACGTTTGTTAACAAATTAAAAAAACTCCTGATAAATAAATGCTACTACAGTGTCAAGGAATACTTAGAAGATAAATTATAAACTTTAAATAACTAAAATTAATCATTATAAACACATGCCAGTATAGACATAAAATCTAATAAATTTACATTTAATAAATATTAATATATAATAAATGACTATGCAATAAATTGATATACAATGAATGGTAAAATAATTTTGTACTGACATTGTTCATTAATAAATTTATTAAATTATCAACAACTACATCCTTTTATGAACATGCAAGTTAAATATACTATTTGGTTTAATTAGTTTATCTCGTTTAAAGCAGAAAATGTTGGTATTGAAATCAAGCTCTTCAAACTAGCATAATTAGGCAGCTCCTCCTCTCTCCTGATAGTGCTGTGCCCGACAGGGTCCATAATTGTTATCTACTTTTAAGCCTACCACCTGAATGTACATTATGGAATGCAATAAATTGAAATTGAAATTGAAATTGACTGACCTGGCTATAATTGCTTAACTTTGCAATGTTTTAACCTTCTCGATTACCACTTGGCCACGATCCTCAATATCAATAATAAAACTAATATGTTTTATTTCAGAGCGCCGAATTATCAGAACTGGAGGTAACCGATAGCGCTCTGGAAGCGTCCCATTCGCCAGTATTAGCGAGATCTCTGCGTCCAGTCACGTGCAGGCTAAGAGCGTTGTGTCTACAGAGAGTGGCCTTGTGTGGGGAGCCACTGTTGTGTCTGGGTGAGTTACCAACACCAATATCAATAATTTCTTTTATTGCAGACCATCATGATCTGCCTATATTTATTCCAATTTTATTTGGGGTCCGCGCAGTATGTATGACTCTTCCATTCTACTCTATCATTCGTCATCTCCCTGTTTACTCCCTTCCTAGCCATATCCTCACACACACACAGTCCTCCTCCTTTTCTTTGGTCTTCCTCTTCTCTTGTACCCCACAACTCCCATACCTAACACTTTCTTCGCCACAGTTTCCTCATCCTTTAGCATGACATGTCCATACCAAAATAACCTATTACTTCTTAACTTTTCATCCAGTGGCGCTACTTTCAGACTCCCTCGTATTTACTAATCCCTAACAATGGTACTAATTCTGTTGTTGGAAAGCTCTCTAAACTAAACTAAAAATCACTAAAAATTACTTTAGTCCTATCAAGTATTACGTTTTCAGAATACCAAACGTTATTTGACAGGACTAAACAACATTTTTAGTGATTTTTAGTTTAGTTTAGAGAGTTTTCGAACAGCAGAATTAGCACCAATGTCCATTCGAGTCACACCACACATCCATCTCAGCACTCGCATTTCCGATACATTCCGGCCTCTCTCAACCGTTCTCTGAATGGGCCAACTTTCAGAACCCTACAGGACGGCAGACCAGTCCTATTTCCTTAGTAACAATATTCTTAGAGACTAGTGTTAGTATAGTACATACAGGGTGTTATATCTTTAGAGGATATAATGTTGCCAAAGAAAAGCTTAAGAAAACATTTGCATTTATTATTACTAAAATAGAGATGCTTTCTTCACAAAAGTAATAACTATATTTGTATTCCGTGCAAACAGTCTACGCACACTAATACCAGTGGGCGGCCGATGGGGAGGCCCCGAGCCGATCATAATAATAATATTCTACCACATTCCCAAACTAAGCAGAGCTTGTACTTTGGGTACTAGACAACTGATATAAATACATAAATACTTTTTTTTTGTAATACATACATATTATACATAGAAACACCCAGACCACATCAAACATTAAATGTTCATGCACACAGATGTTTGACTTGAGCGGGAATCGAACCCGCGACCTTTTGAATGGCAGTCCGTTACACAAACCACTACGCCATCCTATCGTCATACATATAAGTACGGACGTATCGTATCTATGTGCATGATGTGTTTGCTGAAATTGGTTGTACATTAGCCTAAATTCTAGCACATGTAATTTATTATTAAGTACCAACGTTACGACTGGAAGCAAACCATAAATAAATCATCATCATCAATAGCATTTACTAGTCCACTGCTGGACATTGGCCTACTACACCACGCTGGCCAGACGGGTTGGTATAGGGTTTGTGTCAAGTTCTCTCTGTAGTGCTGTTGTCCTGCGTAGTTTGCTCCCTTTTCGCCTCTTACAACACCCACGGGATGAATAGGGGTGGTGACACTCTGTATTCTTAATCCGTCACCACACGGACTAATGTCTACTGACTAACTAATAAATAAATAATGACACCAAAACACAACAAATGATTGTGTTCATCGTAGAAATTGTAATCACGATCAAAGGGCCATTAATTTCTTAACTGTTCATATTTATTTACAGTCATAGCTCTCAAGTCCAATAACTCAATACGAGAACTGAGATTGGGTGACAACGGACTATCAATATCGGATGCTGGGCAGTTGGCATCTCTTTTGGAATATAACAATAGAATACAGTTGCTAGATCTTTCCAACAATCAAATACAGGTGAGTACTCCTAATTTTTTTTTTAAACTGCCTAGTAATATGTCCTGTGTCGCCGGGGACTTCACATCGTCATCATCATTAAATCAACAGCCTTTAATAGTCCACCACTGGACATAAGCCTCTTCTTCGAAAGGAGGTTGTGGCCTACTATACCACGCTGGAAAGACGGGTTGGTATAGGGTTTGTGTCAAGTTTTCCTTCTCTCTGCAGTGATGTTGTTCTGCGTAGTTTTCTGCCTTAGTTCGCTCTTACGACACCCACGGGATGAATAGGGGTGGTGACACACTGTATTCTTAATCCGTCACCATATGGTCACACACGTATGTACATGAAACGGACACAAAGAACACCCAGCTCAGAACAACAATTTGTGGATCACACAAAGTGTTGTACCATGTGGTGGTCGAAGCCATAACGCTTACCGTAGTAGAAAGCTACTTTTTAACTCAACAAGTAACTATGTGAACAAATGTTGGAAATTAATTTTAACCTAGATCAAAGCAGAAATAATTAAAATATGTTTCATGAACAATTTATACTCAACAAAATGTATATCTTTGATGAGTCCGCAAAATCTTATAAGGGCAGTTTGTAATACCGCGTATTTACTCGTACAAAAGCTGCAAATAATAATTTACACACGGCAACCTGAAGGCCAATTCTCGTAATAAAAATTGGGTCTCAATTCAGTTCCTATCAACTTTCGATCTCAACTGTCATAAAAAAATAAAATTGAAGTGTCTCTTTGTAATGTCCGAATAATAGGTTTTTTTTCATGTTTACACGGTTATTTCACATCACACATGGACAGCCTTTAACGGTCCACTGCTGGGCATAGGCCTCCCCTCGGAAAGGAGGTTTTAGCCTACTATACCACGCTGGCCACACTGGTTGGTACAGGGTTTATTTCGAGTTTTCCTTGACTCGACACGGTTATTTGTTTAAATATTTTTTGTCTGACTGTCTGTCTTTCTGTATAAGTAGTAGCTGTCTATATAAGGAAATATATATATACTCGTATATGTAAGAGACTTCCACGTATATAGTCACTCATCACGATATCTCTGGAACCATTAGAGCTAAAGACTTGAAATTTGGTAGGAATATTCTTTTCACCGAGTAGAGGTCAGCTAAGAACGGATTTTACGAAATTAAAAAAAAAATGTAAATAGCAAAACAACGTTTGCAGGCTAGTACTATATAAAATTTTGCCTGGTCTAGGAATCGAACTCACTAAGGCAGCGCTTTTCAAATTCCACGCGGACGAAGTCATGTTCACCAGCTGGTAGTAAAGTATTAAACATCCAACGTTGACTGTAATGTGATTATATCGTATTGGAACCGAAAATTGAATCGGTAATCTGCTAGTCTTAGTAATACTTTACTATTTTACTACGAGAATACCTTTTATGACAGTTGTGAGATCGGAAGTTGATCAGAACTGAATTGAGAACGAACTTTTATTACCAGAATTGGCCCTCTGGTCTCCAACTAGGCAGAGTCTGTACTACGGTAACCAGAGGTGGATCGACAGCATGCTAAGATATAGAGCTATACAATTCACTGTGAGCGAAATGACTAGAGGAGTGGTGGCTAGAGGTTGCCCCCAGGGCGGTGTACTCTCCCCCCTTCTATGGAACATTGTTGTGGATGAGCACATCGCACAACTTAATGACCAAAGATTCCTCACAATAGGCTATGCAGACGATCTTACTATTCTCATCAGCGGTCCTTTTGAGAGCGTTACATGCGATCAAATGAGACTTGCACTGAAGATCGTGGAACAATGGTGCGTAGCACACAACCTGACAGTGAACCCATCCAAAACAGAGATGATCATGTTCACAAACAAACGCAGCCTAGGAAATATCAGACTTCCCAAGCTATTTGGAACACAACTTACTCTTACCAAAGAGGTCAAATACCTAGGAGTAATACTGGACAGTAAACTCCTGTGGAATAAGCACCTCGATGAATAACTGAATAAAGCCTGCATTATTTTCTGCCAATGCAAGCGGCTACTCGGCAAAAGCTGGGGACTATCACCCAAAATTACTTTATGGCTATACAGGACAGTCATAAGACCAATAATCACTTACGGTGCTGTTGTCTGGTGGCAGAGAACAGAGCTAAGCACCGTCATAAACAAACTGCGGCAATTCCAGCGACTCCCATGCTCCGCAGTCACTGGCTGTATGCGCACAACGCCTACTGCCGCACTGGAGGTGGCTCTTGGTCTGCCACCCCTGGATCTATTCATACAGCAGGAGGCCGCCATGGCGATCATTAGACTCAAACACCTGGGTCTATGGCACAAAAGAGAGGGATCGCACTCCAAATTATGGGATCAATTGGTGGAATACGAACCACTGATAGCAGCTCCATGCGATAGAATCCCAAAACACCATATCTTCACAAGAAGATACTACATCCAGATACATGGAAAGGACCGAGATCAATCCGGCATTAACGAAGTCCGAATTTACACGGACGGTTCCAAGACTAGGTCAGGAACTGGAGCCGGAGTTTTCTCGCAAGACCTCAATATAAACATATTACTAGCGTTAGGCCAACACAGTTCCATATTTCAATGTGAATGTGTGGCAATAACTTACGCTGCCACAACGGCCATGTCAAGGGGTATCAAGGACTACAACATCCGAATAATATCCGACAGCATGGCCGTCTTAAAGGCATTGGAGGGCAACACAATGACCTCTGGTATTGTCTTCGAATGCCACCAAGCACTGGAACAGCTCGCTATATTTAATGGGGTACTCCTCCAATGGATTAAAGGGCACAGTAACTCACACGGGAACGATGCCGCAGATGAGTTGGCAAGGAGGGGCTCGGCAACCCCAACCTCTGGCACAACCCCACTACTGGCCATATCGTTTAACCAAATACGATGCTGGGTCAGGCAACGGACCTGTGAAGCACACAACCGGAGGTGGAAAAACTCACCCGGCTGCAGACAGTCCAAACTGGTGCTGAATCAAGTCACACCACGACTCACCTGCCTGATCAGTCTTAGCAGACCGGAAATCCGAATGGTTGTCGGAACTATTACAGGACATCTAGCCCTGAACCGACAACTAATCATATCATAATCATATCAATCATAATCAATGCGACGGACAGTCCCCTGTGCAGGGGATGTCTGGAAGCTGAAGAAACGGCCGTCCACGTAGTCCTGGAATGCGAGGGAGTGGCCACACAACGGGCAAGTATCATTCCTGATATAAAGTCGCTCCTAGAAGCCTGTGAACGCCCCAGGAGGCTTCTGCGCTTCTGGAAGGAGCTTGGCTGGCTCACCTAGTCAACCAATCCTCGACGCATAAAGGACCACTCTGAGTCTAAATGCGGAAACCGAAGCCCACAACCAATACCAATACCAATAACAATACGGTAACCAGACTGCTGATATACACTTATATATTTCTAAATACATATACTGAGTATATTATACATAAATTATACTTAGACACAGAACAAATGACCGTGTTCATCACACAATTTGGTTTTGGGAATCTAACCCACGACCTCTGGCTTTTTTTTGTTGACGGGGTGAAAAATCCCTTCGGATTTCCTGCTCCTCGGGGACTCAGGAGCCAGGTGTATGTAGTGATTCCACTAAATACCACCCCGACGGCCGGCCTTAGGTGTCCTACTCTGGGGAGGACCCGGACCATGTTATTTCAGGTCCTCCCCGAATTGACACCATGCCTAATTAGGGCCTATCCCAGGGGAGAACACTTCCCCCTTCAATCGCGTCATGGCGGCCCGATCGCATCTTAATGCAATCAGGCCGGCCATTCCATCCCCACCTCTGGTAGCAGTCATGATTACTAACCATTTGGTAAAGTAATATTAAAAGTCCAATTTAAGAAAACATATTATTATTGCAGGATGCAGGTGTGGCGCAGTTAGCTGACGCGATGGCGGAGCAGGCGGCACAGTCGCCCCCCTCCGCCGCCGCCTCACCCCTCTCGCCCCATCGCTGCCAAGGTCAGTCACCTCCAATACAAGTAAGCGACTGTAACAATTGTTAATTTCATTTCATCATCATCATCAACAGCCTTCACTAGTGCACTGCTGGACATAGGCCTCTCCTTAGAAAGGAGGTTTCTGCCTACTGTACCACACTGCCCAGACGGGTTGTTATTAGGTTTGGTTCAAGTCTATACATAGAGTTAAATATCGTTGGTAAAGTTCTAACAACTCATATACAAATGTTTAAAACTTTTAGGAAGCCAAAACAGCTGTACGGTTTTACTCACGTCTGTATTTCGAGGATGCTGTTTTTTCAGAGTGGTGACATTTTCAGGGATAAAACGTCTAAGTCAAATCGTAAATCTTTGACAAGTATGAATACTACTGGCAAATTTTTCCATTCAATCAATGTCCTCACTTTTTACATACCTTTTTCTTTCAAAATTATCACAACCTTTCCGGTTTTAATTTCCAAAAACTCGGTTGACGGAAATGGACATTCTTCCTTCGTAAGACCAGACTATAGTGGGTATAATGTGGGTGTGGATGAACCACATTTTATAGTTAACGCATTTGCGTCCCTCTTCCAGGATACTATTCGTTATGAGATCACTAAATATGCACATTTTGAACATTTTAATAACCACAACATTATTACTGTCCTTGTAAGCTTTAGGAGAAATATAAAATTATTCATAAAAGTGTATATAAGTTTTTTGATGTCTCCAAGCATGTAAAAGAATTACATATTGAAGACCCCTTGTGTAGCTGAAATTATAATAGTTAAAATTCGTAGCTTCTTCAAGATTAGGCGAAAATTCACCACTGTGACTATCAAAATTAAAGTGGTCGAAAACTACGCAGGACAATTACGAGAAAATGGAAGGAAGGAATTGCAAAGAGAAGGAAAACTTGAAATAAACCATAAAGAAACCCATATGGCCAGCGTATAGTAGGCCAAACGTTTTTTCTAAGGAGAGGTCCAGCAATGGACTACTAAAGGCTGTTGATGTTGATGATGATGATAAAACTAAAGGGGGCCGCGTTTAATGGTAGGTTAAATTCTTCTTTAAGTTTCTATACGATCGGAAGTACTTTCAGTATTTCTGGTGTCATCATTGAAATCACTGAAAAACCCTACTTATAAATTTTAATAAAAGACACTGTCCTTTTTTCAGTCGGCGGTCATGAAGCCCGTGGCTTGGCATTTTTGGTGTTATGGAATAATCAACTAACAAGAAACTGTGCTCCACATATCAATAAGGCGTTGGTGAGTTACTTGAAAACATATTTAATGTCTATTATGTATAACTGTTTAGTATGATTACCTACAATATTTTAAAAGTAGGAGGGGACCTAAAAGTGATCCCTGTGATACACCATTCTTTAAATTATTATAACTAGTTTCTGACACAAAAGATGCTGTCCAATTTACATAACTAAATAATAGCCAACTGTTTAAGATTACCTTCTTATTTAGGGACTTTAATTTAATTCGAATTAGTGCATTCTATTCACAATGAAAATTAAATTCATGCATCAGTATGTCAATCGAAGGTCTATTAGAATTCACAGAACACGTTAATACTAATCTTAGGGGAAACTCTTCTGGTTCTAGACTAATTGGCTAAAATTCGACCCAAATTTTTTATTAAAGATTTCCCTTAAAGGAACCCGCCCTGCCGGGTAATGGTATAAAAATATGGTAGTATGCCATAAACATAATGGTCCTTGATGAGGAAAATATAATATAATAGCTAATACCCTCGACACTTGTGTTGTTGCCGATTTTGTCAGTCAATCTTATCTAGATATTTTTTTCCCTTTGTTTCCTTTTCGACTTTGTTTCAAATTGTGCTTTTTCGAGATTGTTATCCGTCTCTGGGCGATTAACGAAATTCTGATCAACCGTTTTGGCTTGATAAAGTAACCAACATTGCGTTTATATTATTAACTATAGGTATAGGTAGAAAGTCACGGCTTCGGCCAGTCTATAAGGCCTCGGTTTCGATGCTCGGACCGGGCAAATTTTTTTAGGTATAGGTATCGTGCAAACAACCATGTGAGCATGAAAAAAAACCTATTTGTTTTTGATATTACAAACAGACACTACAATTTTATTCATTTGTATAGATGAAATACGTGCATGATGTCTTATGTCAAAGACATCATGCATAACACGTATTTCGGACAGAACAAAAATAAATATACTAAGTGAATTTTTTTTCTCCATGGAGCGGTCGTGCGCGTCCCTGTGCGTACTGAACGTGGGGCGCAACGCGCTCGGCAGCGACGTGCCGCGCGCCGCCGCCGCAGGCACCGCGCTCGTGTCGCTGGGGCTGCAGGCCGCGCGTCTCGGGCCCGACGCCGCTCAGCCACTTGCCGAGCTCATCCGCCACCACACCAAGCTCCAGGTGGGTACTTGTGCCGCCCCGCCCCCACCGCGCTCGTGTCGCTGGGGCTGCAGGCCGCGCGCCTCGGGCCCGACGCCGCTCAGCCACTTGCCGAGCTCATCCGCCACCACACCAAGCTGCAGGGTGGGTACTTGTGCCGCCCCGCCCCCACCGCGCTCGTGTCGCTGGGGCTGCAGGCCGCGCGCCTCGGGCCCGACGCCGCTCAGCCACTTGCCGAGCTCATCCGCCACCACACCAAGCTGCAGGTGGGTACTTGTGCCGCCCCGCCCCCACCGCGCTCGTGTCGCTGGGGCTGCAGGCCGCGCGCCTCGGGCCCGACGCCGCTCAGCCACTTGCCGAGCTCATCCGCCACCACACCAAGCTGCAGGTGGGTACTTGTGCCGCCCCGCCCCCACCGCGCTCGTGTCGCTGGGGCTGCAGGCCGCGCGCCTCGGGCCCGTACGCCGCTCAGCCACTTGCCGAGCTCATCCGCCACCACACCAAGCTGCAGGTGGGTACTTGTGCCGCCCCGCCCCCACCGCGCTCGTGTCGCTGGGGCTGCAGGCCGCGCGTCTCGGGCCCGACGCCGCTCAGCCACTTGCCGAGCTCATCCGCCACCACACCAAGCTCCAGGTGGGTACTTGTGCCGCCCCGCCCCCACCGCGCTCGTGTCGCTGGGGCTGCAGGCCGCGCGCCTCGGGCCCGACGCCGCTCAGCCACTTGCCGAGCTCATCCGCCACCACACCAAGCTGCAGGTGGGTACTTGTGCCGCCCCGCCCCCCACCGCGCTCGTGTCGCTGGGGCTGCAGGCCCGCGCGCCTCGGGCCCGGCGCCGCTCAGCCCCTTGCCGAGCTCATCCTCCACCACACCAAGCTGCAGGTGGGTACTTGTGCCGCCCCGCCCCACCGCGCTCGTGTCGCTGGGGCTGCAGGCCGCGCGCCTCGGGCCCGACGCCGCTCAGCCACTTTGCCGAGCTCATCCGCCACCACACCAAGCTGCAGGTGGGTACTTGTGCCGCCCCGCCCCCACCGCGCTCGTGTCGCTGGGGCTGCAGGCCGCGCGTCTCGGGCCCGACGCCGCCTCAGCCACTTGCCGAGCTCATCCGCCACCACACCAAGCTGCAGGTGGGTACTTGTGCCGCCCCGCCCCCACCGCGCTCGTGTCGCTGGGGCTGCAGGCCGCGCGTCTCGGGCCCGACGCCGCTCAGCCACTTGCCGAGCTCATCCGCCACCACACCAAGCTGCAGGTGGGTACTTGTGCCGCCCCGCCCCCACCGCGCTCGTGTCGCTGGGGCTGCAGGCCGCGCGTCTCGGGCCCGACGCCGCTCAGCCACTTGCCGAGCTCATCCGCCACCACACCAAGCTGCAGGTGTGTACTTGTGCCGCCCCCGCCCCCACCGCGCTCGTGTCGCTGGGGCTGCAGGCCCGCGCGTCTCGGGCCCGACGCCGCTCAGCCACTTGCCGAGCTCATCCGCCACCACACCAAGCTGCAGGTGGGTACTTGTGCCGCCCCGCCCCCACCGCGCTCGTGTCGCTGGGGCTGCAGGCCGCGCGTCTCGGGCCCGACGCCGCTCAGCCACTTGCCGAGCTCATCCGCCACCACACCAAGCTGCAGGTGGGTACTTGTGCCGCCCCGCCCCCACCGCGCTCGTGTCGCTGGGGGCTGCAGGCCGCGCGTCTCGGGCCCGACGCCGCTCAGCCACTTGCCGAGCTCATCCGCCACCACACCAAGCTGCAGGTGGGTACTTGTGCCGCCCCGCCCCCACCGCGCTCGTGTCGCTGGGGCTGCAGGCCGCGCGTCTCGGGCCCGACGCCGCTCAGCCACTTGCCGAGCTCATCCGCCACCACACCAAGCTGCAGGTGGGTACTTGTGCCGCCCCCGCCCCCACCGCGCTCGTGTCGCTGGGGCTGCAGGCCGCGCGTCTCGGGCCCGACGCCGCTCAGCCACTTGCCGAGCTCATCCGCCACCACACCAAGCTGCAGGTGGGTACTTGTGCCGCCCCGCCCCCACCGCGCTCGTGTCGCTGGGGCTGCAGGCCGCGCGTCTCGGGCCCGACGCCGCTCAGCCACTTGCCGAGCTCATCCGCCACCACACCAAGCTGCAGGTGGGTACTTGTGCCGCCCCGCCCCCACCGCGCTCGTGTCGCTGGGGCTGCAGGCCGCGCGCCTCGGGCCCGACGCCGCTCAGCCACTTGCCGAGCTCATCCGCCACCACACCAAGCTGCAGGTGGGTACTTGTGCCGCCCCGCCCCCACCGCGCTCGTGTCGCAGTGGTGACAAACGGGGCCCAATTCCCTCCTAGCCACCGAGTGCAGGTACTTCCCGACGCAGCCCATCTGCGTCAGCTTATGTTCAGCACCACACCCCTACACTACAAGAAGGGAATTGTTAATTAATATTTGAATTCTTTGATGATTTCAGAGGTTAGATTTACGAGAGAATCGGCTCGGCAGCATCGGACTGCAAGCGATACTTAATGCTATGAAAGAAAACACGACTCTCACGCAAATAGATCTTGATGAGCCGCCGGTACGTAAGCTCTAACTTTTCGTTATTTATGTCCATTGGTATAAGAACTAAAAAAGGAAATCTAACTAAATAAAAAAAAAAAAAAAAAAAAAAATATGGTTATAAATAGTACCCTTAATAGGCCCTTGCGGTACGCTGTTTATTACAAGAGTAAATTAGTAAAAGCTTTCTGAATATTATTACTGATTAAGAGTGTCGAACGCTGAGCTTAAATCTATAAGCCAATCGACTTACTTTTCTATTCTCATTTTCTCTTCAATACCAAAATTGTAAATCATTTCATGTGTATAATATTTAACTTAATTACGTCCAAATATCCATGTATGACAGAGAGCCATGACGTGTGTCAAACCGGTGATAAGCCATATGGAATATGCACATGACTCCAAAATGGACAAAATATGTTTATTTGTAAATTTGATTCATAAAAAAACATACCGATACAGTATTTTTTTAAAGAAATCATTAATAGTGAAATTTAATCTTCAAAAAGTATTTTCCAAAACGCAACGCTATTGGTGGAACAAAACGTGACGTCAATTTACACTCGACGTTTTCTGTCAACAAGTTGTTTGTAGATTTCTGGTGATTATTATTTTGTATTGTTTTGCGGTTGTTTCATAGTAAGTTATTAGTTTTCTGTGTTAAAGTATTAAATACATGTAAATAAAGACTTAAAACAATGACTGATATAAAATAAACTTTGTCAGGTGCAGTTTAGATATTGTTTTGTCACATAGGAACGACACAATGTTTATAATAAGCTTCTCTGTACTTTGCAGTGGTAATAAGTTGATTTTATTACTCAATTTTTTAACTTTCAGTAACTTTGTGAACCAAACACTTCGTTGTTGACATCGAATTCTTGTACTATGACGTCACAGAATAAGCGCGCTAAATTTCAATCGCCCGTAAATGATAGTGATTTTGATAAAATTTTATTAACTCAATGGTTAAAATTTCGGTTGTGTTATACTTATTTTTGATAGTGTAATAACTAGTAGAAACGCTTAAAAAATAAAGATATGCGTTTTCCCTATTCTTTCTTTTGCTATTAGTGAGTCAGTGAGGTTACCGGAGTCCAACCCCCTCTCACATCCAGTATACAGCAGGTTGACTAAATATTCAACAGGAACTTCTACTTAATATTTAAATTTCACAAATATTTAAATAATGTTAGTAGGTTTACTTTCTTATTGTAACCAGTAGAGTTTTATTTAGTTTAGCTGTGAAACTGGAAGGATGCTGGTACTTATAGAAAAGGGCCTCAATTCTGCTATTTTATGTTGATTTATTTTAATAATTTATTATAATAAAAATAAATAAATCATTTCCTCAAAAAACGTAATATATTTTCAACTACCGATATTTATACCGATGCCAATGGCCACTCGATGGCATCTCAATAGCGTGTCAGTGGTATGACACTGGCTTGGCGTGAACATATTTTAACTACCAACAGAATACTAAAATTAAGATTTTCTGTACCTCTATTGAGATTTCTACTACTTGTATATTGTGACAATCAAGAATTTTATCGAGCTCAAAAGGCGGCAAAATACTCTTAACTTGAAGGTGTCCACGGGCGCACGTTGACAATAAAACATTTTGATCACAAGGTGACTTTGTTACAGGAATCATTAAGTTTATCAGCCGAAGACAGCGAAATGTCTCTTGTGAGACGCCTGACGCGCGAGATCAAGACCCTGTGTCTTCGGAACGAGCCGCTGGCCAAACAAGGCGAAACAGACCCTATGCACAGGAAGATAAGTCTGACATGCCACACCGCATGTCTCTTGAGAGTAAGTTTATAGATCAAAATAATAATATTGTTACTATCTTCACATTGTCATTAGATAAATATGACTGCAAGGATGGCGTAGTGGTTTAAGCGGTCGCCACGCCGCTTCCTACTACACCGAGTGTTGTGGGTTCAAACCCCACATGGGACGACACTTTGTGTGATCCACAAATTGTTGTTCCAAGTCTGGGTGTTATTTGTGTCCGTTTCATGTATGTTTGTAAAGTCCCCCGCGACACAGGATATTTTCCTAATGCCTGTTGTCTTTTTAAAAGAAAAACTAACTAAAAAACTAAAGATAGATAGATAACTTTTTATTGTACAATAAAAAAACCGGTCAGGTACGAGCCGAACTTGTGCGCCGAGGGTTCCGTACCTAACCTGATGTTCGTAGATTCTCGTGAAAATTTGTAAGTACCAAAATTTATCTTAATTTTTAACTTTTTTTGTGGAATTATTCCTTTATTTGTGCTGTAAGACGTTTGTTTTTGCCAAATTTCGTGATTCTACGTCAACGGGAATTACCATATAGGTTTTTGACCCAAAACCTATAGGGTACTTCCGGTTGACCTAGAATTGTCAATTTTGGTTAAAAGCAATGTCTCAAATCTCTTGCCTCAAGCACAAGCAAAGAGAAAATTCTGTAAAAAAAAAAGTGGAAAATTAAGGTAATTTTTGGTACTTACAAGTTTTCGCGAAAATCGAAATTTACCTATATCATTTTATCGTGTTGACTCAGGACCTTGATTTTTAAACACCTACTCGTAATAGGGACCATAGACCTCAGTATCTGGTATAAATTTCAACTTGCTAGGTCTACTAAAGACTAGGAAAATCGATGGTGACACACGGACAGACGGACAAGAAAGTGATCTTATAAGGGTGCCTTGTTTTTCCTAAAAAAGCTCATAATTATAGAACGGTCGAAAGGTCGAATCCCCACTCTGTTCAGACTGCAAAGTTGCGGAGGACACACACTATCTCCTAGTGGAGTGTGGAACGTGGCCTACAGGGCTTCTCTGGGCTTTGACAGAATGAATGTTGGAGTATGCAACAATATTTTGCCATTTCCGATATCGGACAGAGCCAGACTATTTTGTAACAATTACTAATTGTTTACAGCTAATATGTATATGTTAGCTGTCTTTACATAATTAAAGTTTAGTATTGTAGTATAGTATTATTGTATACCTAGTATAGTGTGGGCAAAGTATAAATTAGACGGGTTAAGAATACTGAGTGTCACCACCCCTATTTAGCCCGTGGGTGTCGTAAGAGCCGACTAAGGTAGCAAACTACGCAGGACAACAGCACTGCAAAGAGGTGGAAAACTTGACACAAACCCTATACCAACCCGTCTGGCCAACGTTGTATCGTAGGCCAAAACCTCCTTTCTAAGGAGAGGCCTATGTCCAACAGTGGAGTGTTAAAGGCTGTTGATGATGATGATTAATTATAAACTCAGTTACTGTATATGTTTTTTAATTTATAATTGAGCGTTATTGTCAAATCTGACATAGATCAGTAAAAAAAAACAGAAAAAAAAAATTAGACGTCATCTGTGTGGGTTGGATTCCATAATTACCGATGCTGTTTTTGCGACTTTGTGTATACCATATTAACGTTCGTTTTCCTTCTTCAGCAGGGCATGGGAGGCGAAGAGGAGCGGCGCGGGCGTCTGCGCTCTCCCGCCCCCTCCCCCGCGCCCTCCCCCGCCGGGAGCCCCGTGCCTGCACCACACCCCAACTCACGATTCTCGGTAAGTGTTCTGACTATATATATTACAAATATAAAATAGAGTGCCTTAGGGACGGTGTACCAAAAACCAAACCGCAGATATAATTGTTTTTTTTTTTGTTTAAAATTGGTGACAATGAGTAAACAGGATGTATTTACAGAAAAAAGTGTATAAAATATATAATAAAAATACAGAGTGTAAGGGACGGTGTAATGATTAGTCTGAATACACTATTTGAGTATTCGTTACACCGCCCCTTACACCCGGTATTTAATCTACACTTTTGATGGTATGGAGAGGCACACGAGGAGACGGATCACCTGATGGTAAACGCCTAAAGACTCACACCAGCCTTCTTTTGAGCTGTGGTATGCTGCTGTATAACCGTCCGAATGTGCCACATTTAAATTCCAAGCATGTTTTATCCACAGGTGACGAGGGTGACCCCTGAGCGTGAGTCTTCCTCCGACAGCTGTCCATCGACACCGACCAGACCCACGTACTGTCACACACCTTCCAGATTTAGAGTAGTGCAGGTAAACAACACAATTTGACGAGTAACGACATAGACGAGTGACGTCACAGACGATTGACGTCATAGACTAGTGGTTCCAGAGGCGCAACGGTATAGACAAGCATTGAATTGAATATGCGTGACGTCATAGTGTTTCATACTCTCTGATCAGTCGCTAAACTACAATCAGATGCGCGGGAAGGAATAGACAATTAGGTCATAGACAAGTGACGTCATAACGTGACATTATTTCCTTTTAACCGACTGTCTGACATAAAATATGTCTGTTCGATGACAAGAACTGTTGCAAATTAATTTGAATAAGTTAATATGGAAAAGATTCAGCTATGTACTGCATTTCAAAATTAACGTAGTATAAAATCAATAACATTAATAAATAAACTGCTTTCTTCATCTTTTCTTTCTCTACGCTTATAAATACGTAAGACCACAGCACTGCAAAGAAAAGGAAAACTTGACACAAACCCTATACCAACCCGTCTGGGAAGCGCGGTATAGTAGGCCAAAACCTCCTTTCTAAGGAGAGGCCTATGTCCAGCAGTGGACTAATATTAAATATTGATTATTTTGATTTAAATTTAGACATTACGAATTGTACATCTTGTGATAAAATATAAATAGCTTCATAATACCATGGTTTTATGGAAAAGGTCATTGAAGTTGTGTTAGTTACGCCAATACCAAGTTGTTAAGGCCCATGTCCAGCAGTGGACTATTGAAGGCTGTTGATGAAGCCTTGGACGGTATGAAACATTAAACAGTACTTCTTAATTTAAATGGACTGTAAATAGATATTTGATCAGAACACTTCAATTCAGTTTTAAAATTAACATCATGTTTCATAGTTGAAGTCTTAAATTTAAGTTTAAAGTTTCGTGATGATATATAGCCTATAGCCTTCCTCGATAAATGGGCTATCTAACACTGAAAGAATTTTTCAAATCGGACCAGTAGTTCCTGAGATTAGCGCGTTTAAACAAACAAACAAACTCTTCAGCTTTATAATATTAGTGTAGATATAAATTCCTGTGAGATTTAACAAACGGACGGGCATGTTGTTGTAGTGGTTAGTGACCCTAACTGCTAAGCCGAAGGTCGTGGGTGTATTCCCACCCAGGACAAATATTGTGTGATGAGCACGGTCATTTGTCCTGTGATTGGGTGTAATTTATCTATAATATGTATGTATTTAAAAATATATAAGTACGTTTACCAGCAGTCTGGTTACCATAGTACAGGCTCAGCCTAGTTTGGGATCAGACGCCCATGTGCAAGATGTGTGAGCTAAAAATAGCACATTTTTTACAGGTCATGGAGCCCCCCAAGATACAAGTACATCCGGCGTCTACACCGCGTAAATCAGCCTCCCGATTCTCGGTCACAAGGAATTACGATACCATGTATAATCCTTCGCCGTCACCACCCGCCAGTCCTGCTTATAATTCACCAGTGAGGGACCCTGGAGCTGTGGTGACCACCACGCCATCAACTAAATCCCTCCCAGTGATCCCCAAAGTGATGACATCGCCTGTTACAGTTTCTCCTAGTTTCAACCCAGCACCAAGTGTGACAGTAGCTAGAGAAGAGTCAGTAAGAGATGAAGTGAGAAGTTTGGAAAGTATAGACAATAAAACGAAGGATTTTATTTTGCATACTGACAAGTTACCTTTACAATGTGAAGGTATCAAAACACGAAGTTTGGAAAGTGAAGTTTTGAGTAAGTCTAATTCGAAAATCGAATGTGATAATAAAACAATATTAGCGTCTAATGTCCAAAGTAATATAAACTTGCCAACTTTAGTAGATAATAAAACAGACGTTCAGACTGAATATAAATCACATTCTGATACTAAAACTCCAAATTTACAAACTGAAGTTGCTAACAAATCCAGTTTGCCAAGTGAAGTTGGCAACAAATCCAGTGATTTAGAAATTGGGAAAAGTAATGTTGAATCAATATTACGACTTGACGCTGATAGTAAATCACGCTTGGTCGATATTGAAAATAAAACGGTTTGCCAAAGTGATAATGAGAATGTAGGCTTGCAAGATGCACCGGGCTTACGGACTGATATTGATATAAAGCCTGTCTCGCAAGTCTATAAACCACCATTACAAATTCAAGAAATAGAAAAAGACATTGTTAAACTAAAAGAAGCGACAACACAAGTTAATCAAACTTCTGAACAAATTGAGAAATTAAAAGATTCATGTAACAAAGGAATTGTAGAAAAATCTGATGAATCTGAAACTACGCGTATTTCACTCAAATGTGAGTATACTATTAGTATGTGTGTGCCTAAATGTGCCAGTGAACTTACAAAAACACCTGTATCTACAATACAAAATGTCCCAATGACTGATGTACTTAAAGATTCTACATGTAAAAATATGGCTGATAATTTAAAAATTGAACCTCGGACGTTTAAAGTAGATGCAAGTGATAAAAACGCAGAACCTACACCATCAAAAACACATACAACTATAGTTGAAACTTTATCTGAACTGAAAATTGAAACTACAATTATAGATACAACAAAATCTAGAAATATCGATACGAAGGTATTTAAAACTGAATCTGAGAATAAAATCGTTGCTGATTGTGATGTTCACGACCAATCTCAAGAAAAAATGCTCGAAATACAACAATCTAGTGTAAATAAATCTACTAATGACGGTAAAGAACCAAATATTAACGCAGTGAGTGAGACAAAAGACTTAAGTGACAAGGACAAAGTGATAGATAATGTTAAAACAGTTACAATTGATTTAAAGTACAGTGATGTCGTTAAAAATGCAATAAAACATGAACAAAGCAAAACGACTATAAATCAAATAGTTGCTATAACAGAAGATTTAGGTAATATAATAAAGGAAATGAAAACTTTAGTAAAGGACACCGTTGATGGCCCTGTTAAAGATATTGTCCTGAAGAAGAATAAAAGTGAGTCAAGTCTTGATAGTCCCGATCTAGAAGTTTCTAGACTAACAGAGAAGATGTCAAGCGTTTTCGATAGCAATTCTTCTCTAGAAATTTCTGGCAGTTCAATGGAGAGTTTGAACGAACATAATAAAACGGTCCAAGAATTAGATAGACGAAAATCTGGAGTTATCCTATCTGGGTCCAGCTTGGAATCTGATATAACGCCAATAAATAATAACCTTTTAAATCTCTCAGTGAGTTCTAATGACAGTGTATCTCCAATTTTTGGTAAAACAAGAGTGATTCATGATTCGCTGTCTAGTTTAGAAGCTAGTGTTAGCTCCTTAGATTCAGGGAAACAGGAAAAGATTATGGTGACTTCGGCAGACTCCGGAATAGAATATTCACTTCAAAATCCTTCTGAAAATAAAGAAGATAACTCCTCAAACGAGGGTACTCTGACAAATAATTCCAGTCTAAAAGATACTGTCAAAAAGCCAGAAATTCCTTTAGACAGTTTAACTGCTTCGCCTAAAAGGGCTTCCAGTCTGCTGGACGTCCCAGCTTTAAAAAACAAAGGGCTAGATAGAATGAGAAAGATATCGTGGGTAGCCCCATCCTCTTCTTTCCAGGTTCCTAAGCCAGATGAGAAAGAGACAAAACCCTCTCATTTAGAAAAGCTTTTAAGTTTATTCCAACATCCTAGCAGCCTATTTTCAAGAAATTCGGGCTCAGACGATGAAAAGAAATCTGCTTCAAGTACACCTCCCCGAAAAGATTCATCTCTTTCTAGCTCATTTTGGTCTTGGGGCTCTACAATAGAAAGGGACAGGGAAGAAGATAGCTCAGAAGCTACAGACTCTACTCTTTCAGAAAGAGTTCAAGTTTTCTTCGTAGACGAATCGTTTTCCAGGAAGCTGGATAGCAAAACTCCGTCTACCGATACTGATAATACTCTAAGTGAGTTCCAGTCATTCCCACATGAAAGTGAGAGTGATAGAGATAGAGAGAGAGTTACCGTAACCACCGAAGATAACATAGTACAAAAACTAGATTTAAGTGTAAATAGTCAAGATGTAGATATAGCCAAAAATGGCGCAATAGATCTAAAAGAGAAAGAGAGTGTTAATATAGAGAAAGATGAAATAGCGAGACCTAGGTCCTTCGCAGCTGTATTAAAGGCATCTGGGTCGGAAAACTCTTTGAGTAAACAAAACAGTCCTGATAATGGACAATCCGTCGACAAGCTACCTAGCAAGGTCATACGAGGTATCAAAGAAAATATAAGCCCCGAGAACACACTGACTTCAAGTATGACAAACACTAAAACGTTGGCTGAAGAGTTAGAAAGACAAGTTAAGAACCCACCTGTATTAGAGGTGTTGTTGAAAAATGAACCCAAAGTTGATGAAATTAAAGCACCTAGTGAACTAGCACCTATAGCCACAATAGAAGAAACTGAAGACATATTTCCAAAGATTGAGGATGTGAAAGTAGATCAAAATGTATCTGTAGACAGTGGCGTTGCCGAATCCTACAAAAAGGACAAAGAAATTGATTTAGGTAAAGACGCGCTGTCATATCTTGTGTTTGAGAATAGAGATTATGATATCGGCTCAGAAAATGTAATAAAAACAACAGTACAGCAAGGTTCTTTGGCCCAAGAACTTAAAGATGCGGCAATCAAAGAAATTTTAGACCTATCACCAGAGTTAGTTCTTGACGAGGCCGCCTTAGATAAAACGGTTTTCACAACCAAAGAAATTATCGGACTTAGAACTTCACCAATCATCCCTGAGAGAGCTAAACTAAAGAAGTCTAACTCTCTAGAAGACTTATCACATATGGAAGCAGAGAAAAGTAGTCCGAAAACTAAAACTATAGTATTCAAAGTACCCGAAAGTACTACTCCAAGGGATATCCCAGAAAGACGAGCGAAGTTACGAACAAGAAGCGGTTCAAGTCCAAAATCTCTACCTGAAAGTTTAAACAAACCATGCCCTTTTACAAAAATGGAGTCCATTCTAACGAAAAAGAAGAAAAAAGTATCTTCTTTGGGGAAAATAGCGAGAGATTCCCTCCTCGCTTTGAACATGAGTGAAGAAGAAATAGCCGAGTTCAGACGTTCTTATAAACTGACTTCGGTGGAGAGTTTGAGGTCCTTAGAATCAGTGTCTGAGGATGCCAATTCTCAGAGCGGTAATTCAATAGACTCAAGATGTAGGGCTTGTCTCCGGACTTCGCAGGAGAGTCTGATGTCTTTAGATTCAATAAATGAAGATTGCAGATGTACGGACGACTGTGAAAAGCAGGGGAGATCTGCGAGATAGGATAAATAATTATGTTAAATTGGTCTGGTACTTTAATGTAGTAGTCAAACTACAAGAATCTAGCTGAAGGTACACTGAGATCACACATAGACTCCGTAAATATACAAATGTAAACAGAAAGTACATGTGAGTACGTGTGTACTTATGTAGGTACACTTCACTACACTTTGTGTAGTGTGAAGCAGTAAATATAAATTATTACATGTAGTTTGACAAACATAAAATGTCGTATAAGCCTCTAAATTTCTCATAATGCTTTTTGAACATCTTATGAAAGTTCTGCTGATTAAATACACCTTATAATCCATGTTCACTTAAATACAGTTCATATAAACATACGTTGAACATGCAAACATAAGTACACTTAAGGTACACACGAGGACACTTGGGTTACACTTTGAATTGAATTGACTTAATGTTCACAATCTCTCATTAATTTTTATAGTACGTACTTAAAAAGTTAGCAAAAGATTTAAGTCCATGTCCTAAGTGATAAGTCTATGAGTATACCCAGTGTAAATTTCGGTATCTCGTCGTGAATCATCATCATCTCGCCTTAAAGATGAAGAAAAACCTTGTACTATAAGTCGGTATTGGTCACGATCACTAGATTCTTGTAGTCTAACCTCTCAAAATGAGAGCACGTCGTGGTGATGATATAAATTAATATTTTTAAGACTGCCTGTTGTGTAATAGTAATATAATAACACGGAAGGTTAGGCGATCATACATTAATTCTTTTAATTAATAATTTTTTTGATTACCAAAAAGTACTCAGAAAGCAGTGTTAAAGTGTAGTTTGAAATGGACAAGTGATGGTACAATACTGTCGGAACATGGTCAACTATAGTTGCTGCAAGTACACGTTGCTGTATCTTTACGTTTCATAAAACTATGTGAACAAAGCAACTTTATTTTTTAAATTTATTCAACAATAAAGGCTATTATTAAAAGAAAAATATGCCGTCGTTGAATTAAAAAGTGGCAATCTGTTGCCGAATATTTTCTCATACTTCTAGCTTTAATTGTCACAGACTTAAAACTAATACGTTGACCAGAATAAAAGCATAAAATGACAGTGACTTTTTAAAAAATGTTTCTGGTTTTTAATAAAATCTTTTAGGAGTGAAATTCAAATTTACGAAACATATATAATTTTACTGACGTGCGTGAACGTGAAACTCGACGAACACCTATTTTCCAGGACCAAAAGCTTCTGGCCGTGTCAGTGCCAGGCCTCAAACTTGCGTTTGACGGTTACGTTTTCATTTTGTTGTGTTACTAATAGGCACTGCTGTACACACTGAACTGACTGAGTCACACGCATATCTTTAATAAATATGATAGCTATCGCTTAAATTTTATTTTTACTAACAAAATTGACCAAATATTACTTGGGATTCTGTTTTTGATTTAATACCGAAAATTATCACCCTACTATTGATCAGTACATAGCTGAATAACTTTCGGAAGTTGCACTGTATTCTGTACATTATATACCATGGATCTCAATATAGTAAATCCATTCTTCGACCAAGTTATACCGCCTATAGTCCGATTTGAACCTGTTGTGTGTAATTCATAATATTTATTTTTTTGTTAATGTAGATTAGAAATAGGTAAACCAATTACATTATATAACTACAATCATGTAACACAATATGTAGCATTCTATTCGATACAAATAACCATATGTAATTTATCGGAACATGCTATTTGGACACAAATATTTAATCAAGCCTCTGGTCAGAGGGCAGTGGATTTGTGACTATAACCGGTACAATTCGGTCAAATGTTGACCTAAAAGATTTGAAATCTGGAATTATAAAACCATACTACAGATATATAGGAAAAATAGCGAATTTAATAGGTAACGTTGATAATGTACGCGAGAAAGAGATCTGATAAAACTACAGGCGAGAATGAGATAGACATAGGTTAAAAATGTTCTAATACGAAATATTCGAATTACTCTTGAGGCGAGTTTTCTCAATAATAAATACAAAAAAAAAGTTTTTAAATAGACGTCTGCACCTGACTATGATAATTTATATAAAAAAAGTTTTATTTTTAATATAACAAGCAGTTTATTTACAAAGCATGAACTTATAAAATAATTCTTATGTAAAATGCACTCGGATAGTGTTGTAGCACTATTATTCGATACTTAGGCAGCTCGATTTTAAATCTGAAACAGACGATTTATGCAAACATTATACAGGTACCATCTACATATTATTAACAGGCGCTATTTCTTTGATTAAAATCCACTACTGAAAACGAGTGCCTTTCACCCTTTCATGAATTATAAGGTTCAAGCACAAGTTAGCATCATCAGTAAATCGAAATTCCACCATAATGGGGTAAAAGACTGTCGAGCCAAATCAGTACCGTTTTATCAAACGTCAAAACCATAGACGCGGTACATATTTGTATGAAACTCTATAGCGTGACGTCATCCCTAGCTTTTGTCAAATCACATCAACAGCCTTCACTAATCCACTGCTGGACTTAGGCCTCTCCTTAGAAAGGATGTTTTGGCCTATACCACGCTGGTTAGACGGGATGTTATAGGGTTTCTTCCAAGTTTTCCTTCCCTTTGCAGTGCTGTTGTCCTGCGCAGTTTGCTCACTTAGTCAGCTCTTCCGATACCCACGGGATGTATAGGGGTGGTGACACTTTGTATTCTTAATCCGTCACAACATGCACAATAAATAATTTATATTTAATATTGATTGGAACATATAAAAGCAATAAAAGAGAGGACAATTCAGGCTGTACTCTAAGATGTCACAATTGATGATTCAGAAGAAATATTTCATTTTCCAATCTACCCTATTTATTCAATATTAATAAATAAAAAAAAATGAGCTGACGGTACGGTAAGCGTTTACCGCTGCTCATGGTTTGAATTGAGCTCGCTTTGAGTTTGGTAACAAGAATCGTAGATGTTTTATAAAGTATCAACCCTGGGAGAGCCATGATTTACATATGGCCCGCCTCGACTGGAGTAATACCATGACATCACAGAAAAACCAGACTCAAGCTATTCTTTCTTATCTTTCAATATGTTAGCGAGGTAACCCAAGTCCCAACCCCTCATTGTTCCCCCCATGCAGGTGTTCATAGGCGTACAATAGTCACTAACCATCAGGTAATTAGAATAGGAACTAGAATCGTATTCAAACCCAGTTTGGGGGCTGACAGGTTCCTAATGACATCTCCCCCACCTGGACCCGCCCTTGTCATTCAGTGACTAGCTGGTTGCTTGTCTATGGCAAGAAAAATTCAACCTCTCGCTTGGTCTTCAATTCTCTCATTCACGAATACATATATTTTCTGTATAATGTTTGTTATGAATTTCTTTTAGTCGGGTGTCAATATCTGAATTATAGGTAAATTGATTTCGTATATATGTCTTTAGGACGCCATTATCACCTTAATGCGAGAATACAGAGATTCACCAAAACATTTTGGACTATTACTATTGTGAAAAAAAAATTGTCACCTATTTGTGACAACGGCATACAGAGAGTTATAATCATTACATAAAATGGTAGGAATTTGCAATACATATAATTATATCTAACTATAAATACACACACATGTACACAAAAAATTTAAATGTTTACGAAAGTATGTATATGCATTTCTGAAAAAAAAATTAATACTAAAAAATTGTTAACATTGTATATAAAATTGTACAGAAATTGTCATTGATTTTTTTTAAATAATAAGCTGTCAAAATTAGGCTTTATTTACACAAACGAGCGGTTTTATGTCGCTTTATTTATCGTTTGCGTGAGACGGTCGTGAAAATAAAAAGAAATATATATAACTTCTTAAAAAGATTTTAATTACGTGTATAGAACTTTTGGCATTGTGAAATATTCGATTTTCTAATTATTATAGTGTATATCATATATACATATACATAATTGTTACAAAAATATATATAACGGGGTAAAAGTCGCAACAAAAATAGCTCCAAACGTTTTAAGAATCCCTTAAATTGTAATATTATAAGTATTAAATTACTTAATTTTTGTATTGTTATCTTAAAAGTTTCAGGACATTTTTAAAACAATTTTTACCCTGTTAAACTATGACCAAAATTGGGTACGAAAATCGTTAAATTACTCATTGTAAATATATAAAAATCGCTTATGTGTGAAAACGGGAAAAAGTTTTTTCTAAAAAAGTAGAGATAAATTTCGGATTTTGTTTAGATTTTTTTTACGGCGGCCTTTATTCACTCAGCACATATTGACGATTATACCTACCTACCTATCATGGCTCCTATCGGAAATAAAAATATATAAAAATGATATATTTTGTGTAAAACATTTTCCTCGCACTTCTGCAATCTGTGGCAATTATTTCATGACAAGCAACGGAAATATGTAACAACAATTTGGCAAATGAACACGAGCGGTGTTAGAGTCGCCTGTCAGATGGTAGCTGAGATGTCTGATGACACACAATATAATGCGTCTATAGTGAATGTTTGTTCGTTTTTATTTCGACGGGTTTCTTTTAAAGCCGTCTGAATTTTTTAAACCAAGAAAAGTAGATAAAAAAAGGTTTCATGATTATTACACTAAAAATATGACGGGTATGAAATTTTTGGATTGTATAATTTAAAGATGATGTAACATTCGATGGGCCATGACTTAATAATTTCAATAACTTATTTAATAATAATATGCTAACTTAGCATTTTGTAATATTGTAACAAAACTTCTTGCACAGGTTAAAAAATATATGTTGAACAGAAAATTTTATGATCAAGGTGATGAACGGTGATGATGATATGATCATCTTATTGTTTCGTTCGTGTTGGCCGTTGCTTTTCTTGTCGGTGAACTGTTTTGCTTGTAAATGCAATTGTTTGGTGTAATAGAAATGTCACTGGTTGTTATGTTAAATGTGTTCGGTTGTTATATTATGTTACGTTCAATTGTTATATTCAAAATGTGAGGTTGTATTTTTTTCATTAT